CTTAAGATCGTGAGACTTTACTAGAGGCGCGTCCATTTCTCCTGCACAGCTCACTGTGCTACCTCCCTCTGCGGCATGGACGCCTGAGAGTCACTGCACCTGGCTCAGGTTCCGCACAGGTAGGTACTCTCAGCCGTCGGCAGGCGGCCAGGCAGACCACCCTACGCGTAAGGTCATTCCGGCGTTCCTGCAAGTGTGCTGGGAGAGACCAACGTCATGGGAAGTTAGCGGATACCACCTTCTCCTGATGCAGCGTGTGTGATGTGTGTGCGATACTGTGTTGGAAATAACAATGAGAGCATCACTGCCCGGGCGGAGGGGTGGCTGTGAACGGGCTGCTCCGCATGGAGGAGGCGTGGCCAGGGGCCCACCCTTTCCTGGCTCGTGCACTGTGGGGAGGACATGGCGCTCCCACCTGCCATTTGCTCTCCAGGTAATACAGGGCTGGTGGAGAGCAGAGGGGGACCCTGCCTGTCGGGACTGACCCCACCAGAGCTGCTGGCAGACACCGGCTGCTGCCATGGTGACATTCCTCCATGATCTACAGCCAAGCTGGACACAAAATATTATACCTCTTGTTCATGTTTCGGGAACTCCCTCTCCCGTTTTTTCGTGGGTGGTCTCCGGAATATTTTTTCCTTTTTCTTTTTTGTACAATCATGAATGCATTTGATCCTCACCTTGGTTATCAGAGTTTTGACTACGTATACACAGGGTAAGAAATTTAAAAAACGCAGAGAAAAATATAAAAATTGACAGTCCCGCCCGGCGGTACTTTTAGAGGAATGAAGACGGGCTCAGGACGGGCGCCTCCTGCTCTTTGTCAGGCGTATGGCCTCGGGGGCTTACGCAACTTCCCCCAAGCTCCAGGTCCTCTTTTATAGGATAAGAATAATTGCACCGCAGCTGCCTTGCAAATCCCAAAGAGATAGTGAAATACCTGGTCGTTTATATACTGAGTGTGCCCTGGGCTGCAGGCTATTTCTGAGGTTATAAAATAAAAAGCCTTAAGCACAAAGAAATAATCACTCTTTGGACTCTGGACACCTGGCTGGCATGACTATTTCTGTGCAGCTTGGCTATGCCTCTGCACGGCACACAGGCTTTTCCGATGGGCCACGGGTCTCATCGGAAGCAGCGCTGGTGTGAGGCGAATGTCACAGATGGCACTTGGCCACTGAGGCCAAGCAGTGACTCTGTGGGAGGCTGGCAGTTTCGCCAGCAGGGCCCATGGCACCCCTGCTTGTGACTCTGAGGACAGAGACAGAAGAGACCCAAGACACTGAAGTCTCCAGGTCTACCTGCCCCTACGAGGTCCTGGATGGAGGGAGCTATGCCAAGCACTGAGCCAGACCCAAAACATCAGGAGAGAAAGAAGAAAGGAAGAGAGATACAAGAGAAAGAGTCAGACACAGAGGGAGGGAGGGAGGGAGGGAGGGAGATGAGGGCTTGGACCGCTTCCCAAGATAACCTGGGCTAAAGCAGCCTTCCAAGTCCCACACATAAAAGCAAACACAGAGGGACGAGCCAGGACAGCAAGATGACAAAGCTGAAATCAGCTCGGACGGTACAGACAGCGGCACGTATCTGCAGCCGTGTGACTGCATCGACATCTATACGTGTCTTGTCTCACAATAAATGGCACGTTCACGTTTAAACACTGTGCGAGGAAGAATCCGCTTTTTATTTGTCCCATCGATGGTTAATGAGCTTTGGCCGCCACTGTACTACAGGTTCCTGGGTCTCCTCCGTCGCACTCGAAGTTGTCAGCAAAAGTAAGCTATGGTCCCACCGGGAGAACAGAATTGTAACTCGGGGGGAGGAAATGCACCCTCTCTTCCCAGGGGCTGTCCGTCTCTGACTGCCAGGAGAATTATGAAAAGACCGTGCATCCGGTTGCTTGCGAGAACCCATGTCCACGTCACATGCTCGTTGTTTTCCAATTGAGCTTGTGGCCAAGCAGCCTTAGGGCCAAGCAGCCTTAGGGCACATCCTTTTGTTTTTATGTGAAGGGGGCCTTCCATCTTAGCCAGAGCTCTTTCTGAAGAACGTGGAAACTGGCTTCCAAAATGATTGGAGCCATGTTTTCGTGTCTTTGGGGAGAAGCACACCATGTTCTCGTAAGCGTTCCTTCCTCGGCCGCCAGGACGTTTTGCCAGTTCGTCCCCAGTGAAGGGGGAATGCCCTTCATCCCTTGCTATGCGTTCACTTAGTTTTTCAGCTACTTCTCTGAGTGGCTTCAAAACCCAGGCGGCTCCCTAAGCCCCTTTTAGGGCACCCAGCATGCCTCACTAGAGCTCACCTATGTGGTCCTGCAGTTTCTAATTCTAAGTCTTTTAAAAACACGTCTTTTATCTAAGGAATCAGCAGAAATGTAATGTTCCTATGGGAGAGAAGAAACACCTTGGTTTTGTCTATCCATTTCTTTCCAGACAATGGAGAGGAACTGGGAATAAGAATTCTACAGGCTCAGGCAGGCATCCCACCCACGTTTCTGGAATGAAGCTGTCACAGGTGGACTTGTCTGCCCGCCCCCCCCAAAAGATATGTCGGACTCCTAATTCCTAGCACCTCATGTGAAGACAGGGTCTTTACATAAGTGATCAGGTTAAAATGCGGTCATCAGGGTGGGTAGCCCTTGGTGTCCTTACACAAGGGCGAAATCTGGACACAGAAACAGACACATGGGGACAAGACAATGAGAGCAGACAGATGGATGAGACGGCCACACATAACCCGAGGGGAAAGGCCGGGTGGGCGGAGGAGTGGGGGCTGCCGACACTTTCTTTCCAGACAATGGAGAGGAACTGGGAATAAGAATTCTACAGGCTCAGGCAGGCATCCCACCCACGTTTCTGGAATGAAGCTGTCACAGGTGGACTTGTCTGCCCGCCCCCCAAAGATATGTCGGACTCCTAATTCCTAGCACCTCATTTGAAGACAGGGTCTTTACATAAGTGATCAAGTTAAAATGTGGTCATCAGGGTGGGTAGCCCTCGGTGTCCTTACACAAGGGCGAAATCTGGACACAGAAACAGACACATGGGGACAAGACAATGAGAGCAGAGAGATGGATGAGACGGCCACACATAACCCAAGGGGAAAGGCCGGGTGGGCGGAGGAGGGGGGGCTGCCGACACCCAGAT